TAACCCCGAAACCCTAAGCCCTAATTCCTAAACCCTACTTCCTAGACCCTGAACCCCCAATCCTCACTCCTAGAACCCTAAACCCTAAACCCTAAACCCCAAACTTGTGAACGCACGCAGATCTGGGGAAGCGCACGAGTCGGCAGAGATGAGGGCGGCATGCAAGGCATCCTGAGAACGTTTTAAGCTGTAGGGTTTAGGGTTTAGGGTTTAAATTTAGGGTTCAGGGTTTAGGGTTTAGGGTTTAGGGCTTAGGGTTTAGGGCTTGAGGTTTTAGGGTTCTCAGGGTTTAGGGTCGTAGGGTCTTGGGGTTTAGGGTTCAGGGTTTGAGTTTTGTAGGGTTTTGGGTTTAAGGGTTTAAGTGTTGAAGTGTTTCGGGTTTTTGGGCTTGGGGTTTTAAGTTTTAGGGTTAAGGGTTCAAAGGGGTAAGGGCCTAAGGGTTTCAGGGCTTTAGGAATTACGGGTTGAAGGGTTTGAATTCGGGTTTAAGGATTTAATATTTAAGGATTTTAGACTTCTGGGCTTCATAAGATTCGGGGGTTGTAGGGTTTAGGTTTTAGGGAATAGGGGTGTAGGATTTGGGCCAGAGTTGGATTCTGGGGTTGTAGGGTTTTGAGGTTGAGGGTTGGGGTTAAGGATCTGAAGGCCCTAAATCCTAAACCCTAAACCCTAAACCCTAAAGAGAGTCCAGGCTGCTGAAGCTTTCCAAGGGCGCCCCGGTCCCATGAATGAGCGAGGTGCAACACAAAGCTCAGCAGCCCCAAGACCCCTAAGCCCAAACCGCAAAGAAAAAAATATATATAATAAATAACTTGTTGTGTGAATTCATTTATTTTTAACATTGGTGGTGTTAAATAATTATTATTTAGGGTTTAGGGTTTACGGTTTGGGGTTTGGGGTTTAGGGTTTGGGGTTTGGGGTTTGGGGTTTAGGGTTTGGGTTTAAGGACCGCTCAGCCCAACGCAACCCTGAACCACGCACCTATTCGCTGAGAACCGTGCCGTTCCTAACCTCGGGAGTGATCGGTAGCCATCCACTCCTTGGCAGGTCAGGGTTTAGGGTTTAGGGTTTAGGGATTAGTGTTGAGGGTTTAGGGTTTAGGATTAGGGGTTTAGGGTTTAGTTCACGTTTAGCGTTTAGGGCTAGCCCCTGAACCCTAAACCCTGAACTTTAGGGTTTATAGGGGTCAGAGTTGGCTTGACCCCCCCCCCCCCCCGCCTCCCAGGGTTTAGGGTTTAGGGTTACAGACCTCAAGCTCTGCAATCAATGTGCCCTCGGGCTCTAAGTGCTGTTTGGGTCTGAAGTCTGTGAATGATACCTACTTTCGGCCATTTGGAGCCGTAGGGGTAAACCCTAAACCCTAAACCCTAAACCCTAAACCCTAAACCCTAAACCCTAAACCCTAAACCCTAAACCCTAAACCCTAAACCCTAAACCCTAAACCTTAAACCCTAAGGATTTCAACCCAAACGCTCCGTCGCGGCGTTGATGCGGAGGTTCGCGGACGCATCAGGCGTTGAGGGTTTGGGGTCGAGGGTTTCGGGTGAGGTGCACTTCTAGAAAGTCAACCCGAAGCTCGAAACCCTAACCCCAAACCCGAAACCCTAGATACGTCCAACTTCAGCAGACCTAACGGCTCAAACCACAACGGCTTGTGACCCTCAAGGTAAAGTCCAAGACTGATCACTTTACGACTTGGGGTGGGTTTGGGGTTTAGGGTTTAGGGTTGAGGGTTTAGAGCCCCAAGCCTAAAAACCCTAGAGCCTAGCAGCTTCTTCCTGGCAGGGTGTGTCTTGGGGGTCCCGGCTCCACTCCCACGCATCCGGGTTGACAGGAGGCTGCCTGGGTTTAGGGTTTAGGGTTTAGGGTTTAGGGTTTAGGGTTTAGGGTTTAGGGTTTAGGGTTTAGGGTTTAGGGTTTAGGGTTTAGGGTTCCGGGTTTAGGGTTTAGGGGTTTAGGGTTTTAGGTTTAGGGCTTCGGGTTTAGGAGTTGAAGGCTCCCTGAGCCCTCAACCCGAAAAGGGGCTAGCTAATGAACCCTCGCAACTTCCACAAGAATTTTGCAGCACCTCTTGGCTTTCCTTTTAGGGTTTAGGGTTTAGGGTTTAGGGTTTAGGGTTTAGGGTTTAGGGTTTAGGGTTCAAGGTTCAGGTTGTTTAGGGCTTGGGGTTTCGGGCTTAGGGCTGTTTTGGGTTTTGGGTTGATCTTGTGAGGTTGGCTGGTGGCAAAAAGATTGCGGTTTTCTGCTGCATGCACCTACACCAAGCTCCACCAGCCAAACAAAAACAGGCGCTACTCTGTTCAGTTCCGTGTAAAGGTGGCAAGGTTCAGCCCGAAACCCTAAACACTGCAAGGGGGGTTTAGGGCTTAGGTTCTTTTTTTCAGGGTTTAGGGTTTAGGGTTTAGGTTTAAGTCCGGGCGCTGAGGCAGACCTACACCCTGCGGTTCGGGTTGGGCTTAGCCCGAAATGAATGCGCCCTTCTGTGGGGTACCTGATGCAATCTAAGCCCTGACCTGCAAGGTACCCCAAAAGCAGGTCTATAGCTAGGGTACCCAGAACGGGGACCGAAATTCAGAGAACTTACCCCAAACTCTAAACCCTAAACCCTAAACCCGAAACCCCCTAAAACCTCCAAATCTCGGAATGCAGAGACCGCAATGGCAAAACCTGGAGCCTCTAAGTGCCCTCCAGGGGGCAAGATGATGTGTCCGTCCGTGATGGACTTTAGCTCCTTTCAAGGTGCAGCCCTAAACCCTAAACCCTAAACCCTAAACCCTAAACCCTAAACCCTAAACCCTAAACCCTGAACCCTGAACCCTGAACCCTAAACCCTAAACCCTAAACCCTAAACCCTACGTGCACCCCATGGTCTCTACCTTTGGGGGTTGGGTTCCAATAGGGCTCGGGGTTCAAAGTGCGGCGGGTCTGGGGGTTTGGGGTTTAGGGTTCGGGGTTTGGAGATTCGGCTTAAGGGTTTGGTGTTTAGGGTTTAGGCTTAGAGTGTTGCAGGATTTCAGGTTATGGGCCTTTTTGGGCTTTGGGGGCTGTAGGGCTTCTAGTGTTTCAGGGTTTTGGGGTTTTTGTGTTTTAGGATTTGTGGTTCGGGGTTACAGGGCTTTGAGGACTTTGGAATTTTTTGGGTTTCGGGTTTCTGGGGTTCTAGGGTTTTGGGTTTCGGGTTTTAGGTTTAGGGTGTTCGGGCGTTCAAGGTTTTAGGTTTTTGTGGTTTTATAGTGTTTCAGGGTTTCAGGGTCACCGGCTGTAGGGTTTTCAGGTTGATGGCATTAATGAAGGTTTTTGTGATAGGGCTTTCAGGGCTTTGAGGTTTAAAGACTTGGAAAAGCCCCAAACCCTAGACCCTAAACCCAACACCCTAGACCCTAAACCCTGGACCCTAAACCCTAAAACCCAAACCCGAAAGCAACACGCCGGAATCCGAAAACAAAACTCACCAAGCGAACTCTGGAACCATTCCGTCCTGAAGCGGGTTTAGGGTTTAGGGTTTAGGGTTTCGGGTTTAGGGTTTAGGGTTTAGGGCTTAGGGACTAGGGTTTCGGGTTGAGAGATGCCAAGCCCAAAGCCCTTTAGAAAGTCTGGGGAGAGCCTCAATCTCCCAGTTGGGGACCCCGGGTATCGCTGGGTTCGGCTTCAGCACGCTGTCATCCGCTTCCGTCCTGGGAGTTAGGGGGGTTTAGGGTTTAGGGTTTAGGGTTTAGGGCTTAGGATTTAGGGTTTAGGCTTTGGGGTTTAGGGCTTAGGGCTTAGGAGGTTTAAGGGGGCTCAATGGGGTTTAGGGTTTAGGGAGTAGGAACTCTAGGGCTTGGGGTGTTTGGGGCCTTCGGGTTTAGGGTTTACAAGGCCTAGGAGTGGGGTTTAGGGTTTAGGGTTTAGGGTTTAGGGTTTAGGGTTTAGGGTTTAGGGTTTAGGGTTTAGGGTTTAGGGTTTAGGGTTTAGGGTTTAGGGGTTAGGGGTTAGGGGTTAGGGGTCAGGGAAGGGCTATGGATTTCCCACTTGGGGGTGGGGGCTGGTGGCAGGGCTGGGTCATGAGACAAGGCCTTTCTGCGCCACGTGCGGAAAATCTTAGCCAGGTGACAAACACCTCAATCTAAGGTAGAACCGAAAAGAAAGCGTAGGTCAAGCGATTGCGGCTCAGAATATCCACATCTCGTCAGCAGAATTCGCTCCAAATGCCCGCAAGCTCCACAATCCCAAACTTTGGATTCTCTCCCCCCGCTCCCCCCGCCAATAACGGCGCCAAAGCACACAAATACATAATCATTGTTGTAAGTGGCTCCCCAAGCAAACCCTAAAGCCTGAACCCTAAACCCATTCCCCAACCCTTAACCCCAAACCCCAAGCCCTAAACTTCTGAAACCCATACCCCAAACCCTACACCCCAAACCCTAAACCTCAAACCCTAAACCTCAAACCCCAAACCCTAAACCCTAAACCCCTAAACCCCAAACCCGAAACCCTAAACCTAATCCCCAAACCCCAAACCCCAAACCCCAAACCCCAAACCCCAAACCCCAAACCCCAAACCCCAAACCCCAAACCCCAAACCCCAAACCCCAAACCCTAAACCCTAAACCCTAAACCCTACACCCCTAAACCCCAAACCCTAAACCCTCCCTTCGGATCATGGCCGCAGCTCTGGGAGATGAGTTTAGCTGTAACAAAACTTACACGTTCACAAAGCACATGAAGCAAGAAGGGGTTTAGGGTTTACGGTTTAGGGTTTAGGGGTCGTGAAATATACTACCTGTTCTCAGAACACCAATACGTGGAGGCCCTGGCATTCAGAAGGTTCCCAGCATCGGCTGTCAGCAACTCCCCTGGACGAAGGAAAGGCATCCTAAACACTCACCATGTTCTTCTACCATCTCCTCTACACCCTGAACCCTGAACCCCAAACCGTAAACCCTAAACCCTATCATGGCCCTAGAAACCCTAAACCCTCAACTCGAAAACTCTCCACTCACGCCCTCTGGGTCTGGCGCTCGAATGAAATGCCTTCATCAGCAGCATCCGCCTGGGACTTAGGAGCCTACACCCTTAACCCTAAACCCTAAACCCTAACCCCCAAACTTTAAAGCCTAAACCATGAACCCTGAACCCCTGGCAGCCTCAAGCTTGATTCCTTAAGCCCGCAAGCCCTAACGCTCGGATGAGTGCAGTTGCATGCGAAGGAGGGTGACACCACGTTACCTAATTTAGGGTTTAGGGTTTAGGGTTTAGGGTTTCGGGTTTAGGGTTTAGGGTTTAGGGTTTAGGGTTTAGGGTTTAGGGTTTAGGGTTTAGGGCACCACGTTACCTAAGGGAAGGGGTTCATGGGTCTAGGGTTTAGGGTGGCTAGGGGAAAGCTTCGCACTTTTGCCTCGAAACCCTGACAAGCCCTAAACCCTGAACGCTACATCTTAGACCCATGACCATGAACTCGTACGAACCCTTGATACCCCAAACCCTAAACCCTAAACCCTAAACCCTAAACCCTAAACCCTAAACCCTAAACCCTAAACGCATCTTCATGAAGCCCGGCCTTCACTTTGTCGACGAGCTTCTGTCCTGCATAACACTTGCGTTTCGGGCACATGGTCTGAGCACCCAAAGTCTCCTACAACCCAGCACCCTGTCCCTACACCCTAAACCCTAAACCCCAAACCCAAAACCCTAACCCTAAACCCTAAACGCTAAACCCTAAACCCCTAAACCCTAAACCCCAAACCCTAAACCCAAAACCCAACCCTGAACCCTAAACCCTAAACCCTAAAAACACCCTAGGCCCTAAATCCTAAGCCTTCCCTCTTGCACTTACTCTACGCCTCTGGACACGCTAAACTACGTTTAGGTTTCGGGTTTCGGGTTTCGGGTTTCGGGTTTCGGGTTTAGGGTTTAGGGACCAAGCTCCTGAGTGCTTTCCACATGCAGCCACGCGGCGGACTTCATCCGAGATGCGCTGGATGTTGCCGATCTGCTCCAACTTCATCTCGTACGCCTGCACCACATAAACCCTGAACCCGAACAAGAAAACAAGATGCCCTCCCAATCCTCTTCACTCCCCCAGAAAGGACTACCCCAAACATGATGTTGGACATTCTGCATGGAGATCGTTTAAAGTACGCTTTATGCAACATGCTGGAGGCCTTTTCGGGGCCTTACCTGCGTGTGGCCTGATCAGCTAGGCGGGAATTGAAGGCCGAATCCCGAACAGTCCGCAAGAAGACGCCCCTAAAATCTAAACCGGGTTCCCAGCACAGGCCAGGCCTGCCGCTTGCGATACAAGTAGCCTCCGTCCTCTCACCAGTATGGCATTGGTTGTTACTGTGTCAAAGATGCAAGAAACCGCCTAGAGCGGCAAGACATGAAAGAAGCGACGGCACGCATTCAAAGGAGCGAGTGAGGAAAGTGAACTGCATGAACGGAGTGAACACAGTGGACAAATTGCATGAATGAACCTTACGAACACCCTTATAACGGAATGCATTAGAGGCCCCACAAAACTTATTGACTTTAAAGGGGCCTTAATGCAATCTAAGGGGCCTGAATAAACAAAACATGGCTTGGGGGGGGGGGGGGGGGATTGTAAAAAATATATATGTAGGGACCATAACGGAAGACTTACTGTTTAGGGTTATTTGGTTTTGGCTTTAATTAGGGTTTAGGGTTTATGCTTCCGACCCCCTACATAACATGCCTGGTCTGGATCACAGTGATTACTATGGCTCAACAGGCCCCTAGGCCTTGGGCCAGATGAGGCACACTGAGTAGGGTTTAGGGTTTATAGGGTTTGTAGGGTTTATAGGGTTTAGGGTTTAGGGTTTAGGAGTGAAATGCCACCAAGGCGTCACACCTAGGACCCTACAACCCCCTAAAAACCCAACCAAAACTGCGGATACCCGAAACACCCTAAACCCTAAACCCTAAACCTTAAACCCTAAACGCTCAACCCTAAACCCGGAGGCTTTGGGTTTAGGGTTTGAAGTGCCGCTTCGGGTTTGTGCAGCCTCTAGGCGTTTTAGTGGAAGCCCAAAACCCTAAACCCTCAACCCTAAACCCTGAACCCTAAACCCCAAACCCCAAACCCTCAACCCTAAACCCAAAACCCCAAACCGTAAACCCTAAACCCTAAACCCAAACCAGCCCAACGTCGCGTGCCCAGTTCGTCCTGTTCCCAGAGCCAACCGAGGAGGGTCACCGAGCCTTTCTCCACCTGTTAGGGTTTAGGGTTTGGGGTTTGGTGTCTGGTGTTTAAGGTTTAGGGTTCAAGGTGGAGAACATGCAAACGAACATTAGCATGACAACATAAAAATCGCAACCAGAACAAGCACCTCCTGTAGACCAGAGAAAACTGTCAAATTCGGAACCGAAGCTCAGTAACTGCATGTTCTGTAGACGACTCTGTTCCTGATCGGCCTCTGAAAACTATTGCTGAAGATGGTCCTCTTCCGCGGCATCATTATACTGCCGGGTCGGCACCTGGTTTACTAGGGTTCTTAAGGGAGGGCGGTTCAAGAGGGGTATGTAACTCAAGGCTTCCTGATCTCCCCACAAACCTTCCTAGGGCTCCCTAAGGGCTCCCCCTAAGCTTCCCTAGGTAGCTACTCCCCATCACCCTCAATCCTAAACCCTAAACCCTAAACCCTTAAGCTAAGGGCCATGTCCGTGTGAGCTGCGCAGCGCCCGCCTCGTTCACAGCGCGGTTCACCTCGGTTTCGTCCAAGTCCGACCTAAACCCCTAAACCCTAAACCCTAAACGCTAGCCGCTAGACCCTAAACCCTGAACCCAACCCTGAACGCTAAACCCTAACCCTTCGCCACATCCTAGGCTTCCCACGCCCACACTCTTAGGGGTTTAGGGTTTAGGTTCAGGGTTTAGGGTTCAGGGTTCAACCCTGCAGCCTGAATCCCTGATTGCAGCTCACGGCACCATGCGGAACCAAAACTTCCGCCGCTCCCCGATGGACTCGCGAATCACCTGATGTTTTCGGGGAGTCGAGGCGGGTTATAGGGTTATAGGGTTATAGGGTTATAGGGTTATAGGGTTATACGGTTATAGGGTTACAGGGTTATAGGGTTCTAGGGCTTTAGGGTCGTAGGGTTATAAGATTATAGGGTTCTAGGGGGCTCCGGGATTCGTGATTTTGGGTTTTGGAAGTCGGAAGCAGATGACTTGGGGGCGCAGGTCCAGCTCTCAATAGAATCTCCGCTTCTGTGCTCCCTAAAAATGCTGTAAAAAAGCGCTTGGGCTTAGGGTATATAAGACTTAGGGCTTATAGGGTTTAGGGTTTAGGGTTTAGGGTGTAGGGTTTGGGGTTTAAAGTTTAGGGTTTGGGGTTTGGGGTTTAGGGTTTAGGGTTTAGGGTTTAGGGTTGCCTGCGGAGGCGCCACGCAACAGCGATATTGAGCAAATCCTCCACACGATCTGTCAGCTGGCAGTTGGTCGGATCCTGTGTGAATTCTGCTTGGGATGGCCATCCCGACCAAGCTTGTGAGTCTCAAGCTGTTGCGGAGCTTGTCGGAGTGCATCTGTGGTTGGTGCAGAAGCTTCTCACTTCCACATCGTTCTTTCTTCTCTTTTTTGTCTTTCTCCTCCAGGGCTGTCCCATTTTGCAAAACACCGTGTTTCAAACTCTATAGATTCTAGATTCTAGATGTCAGGATGTACAGTTTTAAGTTGCCCCTTCCCTTTCCCCCAGACATAGAACAGCAATGGCAAGGTTTCTTGGATAAGTTCTCCACAACCAAAAGGCCACAACAATACTTTACTCGATCTCCATCATCCATCCCTGGTCACCCTAAACCCATAAGGAGGCACGCAAAGCAAGCAATTCACCAAAACCAGAAACCAAAGACACAAAGACCTGATCCGCGAATACCTCAAAAAACCCAACAAGACCATGCGCAAAACACAAGACCGACACAGCCAAAAACAAACACACGACAAAGCCCCTGACAGCCTGAAAGCTGCGCAAAGCCCGAAAGCCCTGCACCAAAAACGAAACATGCTAAACACCCATAAAGCCTAAACCTAAATACCTCAACAACCGCAAACATCAAGCCCTAACTAAACCCTAAACCTAACCCCCCCCCCAAATCCCCCGCAAAAAAAACTAAGCTCTAAAACCGACAAGATACGAAAAACATGGTAATGAAAAACAAAGGAAAACAAAAACAACAACAAACAGAAAACTCACAAGCAAGCTCTGTGGGCCGAGCGGTGCCCTGCATCTGAACCCACTGCTCCTCCTCACAGCGGAGAGGCGATTTAGGGTTTAGGGTTTTTTAGGGTTTAGGGGTTAGGGTTTGGGGTTTGGGGTTTAGGGTTTAGGGTTCAGGGTTTAGGTGGGACTGGGAAGTTAAGATTTTGAGAGATAAAGGATGTTTTTGTTTGTGAGGACTTTGGGTTGAAAGGTTTGGGGTGTAAGGCTCTAGGCGCATCAACCCTTGACCCCAAGTCCAGCCCTAGGCCTGTGGCCCTGTGTCCCTACACCCTAAACCCTAAACCCTAAATCGCAGGACTCTCTCCTTCGGGTCGACAAGGAGTCCTCGCGCAGATCGCTCCTGGAGCGTGCAGCCGAAAGAAGAGGGCAGGGGGGGCGGTGGGTATAGGGCCCCTAAACCCTAAACCCTAAACCCCAACATACACCCTAAACCCTAAATCCGAAATGGAGCTCGTAGGTCGCCAGGGCATCTAAGGCTAGGGATTTCGGGTTTAGGGCTCGATGTCTCAGGCGTAGGGTGGGTTTCTAGGGCTTTCTGAGTTTAGGGTTTAGGGTTTAGGGTTTAGGGTCAGGTTGAGGATGAGGTGGGTTGAGGAGTCATCGTTGAGAAGAGTTGCTGCGCGCGCGGGTCCTGACCAGCGATCTCCGCCAGTACGTTCCAGACCTAAGCATCCTAGCAGAGCTCCCCCGAGACCCTAAACCCTAAACCCTATACCCTAAACCCTAAACCCCACCTGAAGAACCTAAACCCCAATTTCTGGTAGGTTGCATAAGAGCCATCTGCAGGGTTAAGGGTAAGGATTTACGGTGTTCGGGTTTCGCTGCTCTACCGCAGAGTCATGAGAGTCGTTGTTGATTGTTTTTGCTTTATTTAGGGTTTAGGGTTTAGGGTTTCGGGTTTAGGGGTTTAGGGTTTGGGGATTAGAGTTTAGTTTTGTGTTTTTGAGGGGAGGAGTCTGCATATTTGTACTGACATGAATTTTTCTATACGCACAAATACACTACGAATACTAGACTCTGATGTTCAAACTACCGGCTGTTGCTGGTGATCTGCTCGCGGGTTGCAGGTTTCAGGATGTGGGGCGCTAGGGTTACGGGGCCAGCGTTCAGGGCTTCTGACTTCAAGAGGTTTTGCATGGACAGGGCTGCCCCTTACTTAGACTCAGAGCAAGATAGACGGGTCATGGGTTTGCATAGCCCCCTTTTTTGAGACAAACAGAATTCCATCAGGGAGACTGTCGGATCATCTTCCACAGGTGAGCTTTTGCAGCTTCAGTGTCGGGCCAGCAACTACGACGCAAAGCAAACACGAGCCCTAAACCTCCCCAAGCCCCAAGCAAAACTTCGCGGTTTAGGGTTTAGGGTTTAGGGTTTAGGGTTCAGGGTTCAGGGTTCAGGGTTTAGGCTCCGGTGAACGACCTTCAAAGTTAAGGGTCTGGAGCTGTCGAAACCAAACAACACCTACCTGCGACTCCCCAACCTTACAAAATGGTGGCTGCACCCCCTAGATATAGAGCGTGACCCCCAACATCGCAGGTAAAGTGCAATTCCCTAACCCAAACCCCAAACCCCAAACCCCAAACCCCAAACCCCAAACCCCAAACCCCAAACCCCAAACCCCAAACCCCAAACCCCAAACCCCAAACCCTAAACCCTAAACCCTAAACCCTAAACCCAGGGGTTGGGGGCTCTGGGGCTAACAAAGGCCGAGGGGCATCACTCATCGCCTCGAAGTCGCAGAGGACTAGGGCCTCGCCCTCCTGGCAGGATATCTGGGGGTTCCGGATTAAGGGTCTCCCGGGTTAGGGTTTAGGGTTTAGGGTTTAGGGTTTAGGGTTTAGGGTTTAGGGTTTAGGGTATAGGGTATAGGGTTTAGGGTTTAGGGTTTAGGGTTTAGGGTTTAGGGTTTAGGGTTTGGGGTTTGGGGTTTGGGGTTTGGGGTTTGGGGTGGGGTTTGGGGTTTGGGGTTTGGTTTGGGGTTTGGGGGGGTTGAGGGTTAGGGGGTTTAGGGTTTAGGTTTAGGTTTGGTTTGGGGTTTAGGGTTTAGGGTTTAGGGTTTAGGGTTTAGGGTTTAGGGTTTGGGGTTTGGGGTTTGGGGTTTGGGGTTTGGGGTTTGGGGTTTGGGGTTGAGGGTTTAGGGTTTAGCGTTTAGGGTTTAGGGTGTAGGGGGTAGGGTTTAGGCCACCGATGAATGGCAGTACCCTGACCCTTCCATATTTGTTCTTTGAACCCAAACGGAAAAGGACACTATCTCAGTCTCCCCATGCCAATACTCATATCCCTGCTCCTTCATGCCCTCGGCGGCCTTGTCAAGCCAGAAACTGACCACCGCCCGGTCAAGTCTGGCGGCCCCCGCTCCGAGCCCTTGTAGCGATGCTCCCATGCTTTGCTTTGGGTTTTCCACTGCTTCGGCTCCCAGCAGCGCTTGGGCTTCTCATCATTGCAGTTCACGCACAACATGGCGTCGACAGCGAGCAGGCAAGGTGAGCAGGGAGCCCAACAGCGATCTTCTAGTAAGTGTTCAACATACCCCTAGGGCATACCCCTTAAAAGAAATTAAAGGGTATGGTAAGATCCTTAGACTCCCTTATATGGGTTTCGGCTGTGGTTTAGGGTGTAGGGCTTAGGGCTGAGACTAAGCTCCGGACAGCGTCAGGCATGTAAGGTAGAAAGACACGTTCAGTGCGTGCACGAGGGTACAAATTCCAGAAGGACTGAATGAGGCACGTGACATGGGACCTTAAACTTCAACCCTAAACGCTGCACACCACAAGGTCCTCAAGGCTTGTCATGGGATGTACGCCACCCCTAAACCCTGAAGATCCCCTCAGGCCCAAGAAAGAGTTGTCAAACCCAGGCACAACCAATGTCAAACCCATCACAACCTCACAACCCTAAACCCTAAGCACCCTCAACCCTAAACCCTAAACACCAAACCCTAAACCCTAAACCCTAAGCACCAAACCCTAAAGTCTGAGTCTCCCAACAGCTGCGACCCCCTGCCTCCTGACCGAAATGCTCGGCGAAGGCGATAGCTGCGTTGGTGGCGATCATCCTGCGTCCCCGCGGCGCTTCGCGGCGGGGTTTCGAGGTTTCGGGCGTCACAAGCTCTGCAGACTGCCCGGTAGAATTATTTAATGCCCCAGAATCCCTAAACAATAAGCCCTCTAAGCCTTGGCTCTAAAAACCTTTCGAAAACAGTCCCCGATGCCGAAATTACTTGCAAGCCACCCATTACAAACTCCACAAGGCCTGAAACCTAAATCCTAAAACACCATGCCCCTGAAGCCTCTAAACCCAAAACCCTAGGGTTTCCTAGCCCTAAACCCTGAAATGAGCAATGAAGCTTACTCTCAAGCCTTCTGAACCTTTGAAGGCCCTTCTAAAACCCCTTCTTCAAAACCCTAAACCCAGATAAGCCCCTTCTTGAAACCCCAAACCCCAACACTCCAACACCCCAAAACCCCAAAACCCCAAAAACCCCAAAACCCCCAAAACTCCCAAAACCCCCAAAACCCCAAAACCCCAAAACCCCCAAAACCCCAAAACCCCAAAACCCCAACACTCCAAAACCCCAAAACCCCAAAACCCCAAAACCCCCAAAACTCCCAAAACTCCCAAAACCCCCAAAACCCCCCAAACCCCAAGACCCCAAAACCCCCAAAACCCCCAAAACCCCCAAAACCCCCAAAACCCCCAAAACCCCCAAAACCCCAAGACCCCAAAACCCCAAAACCCTGAACGCGAACCCAGCAAGCCGAAACGACAGCGGCCATGGCGACCCAGCCTCGAAGCCGGGTCGTCAGAGATGGGCCTCACACATCTGGTGGTTTCAGGGTTCATGGTGTTTAGGGTTTAGGGTTTAGGGTTTAGGGTTTAGGGCTTAAGACTTAGGGTTTCGGGTGAAAGGGCTGGGCAGGGTGCAGGTTGGGCTACTGAGTCTAATGAAAGAAGACTGGCCCCAACAAGAACTTGCTGGTTCTGAGCCGGGAATTGGGGCATGAGAGTCCCCAAAATTCCCTGAAAAATTTTGAGAGGACGCAAGGCACCATGAACTCCCGCCCTGCTCTCTGAAGGAAGACCGGACACCGTGCGCCCTGAGGGCCACAGGCTTCTTACATGGTCAGGGTTCTATAGTGAAACAGAAAGGGAGCTGAACACCAATTCCGCAACTATTCCACTTCAGCAACAGATATCGGGCTTCGTATCCAATCTCTTGGCATGGGTGGAGCTCGTCGAGGTTTAGGGTTAGGACTCAACCAGGTGGGCGGTCTGGGAATTTGGCTAACGTTTGTGGGGGGGGTTCGTGCTCCTTCAAAAAACCCCTTAGATCATAGGCCCTGTGAACACCAAAGACTCACGACCGAGATCTTGGCACAAAGATCGTGCATCTGTCCCAGCAGCCCAACTCCTGGCGACAGGGCGGCGTCGGCCGGTTCTCAGCGGACAGGTGTTATCTTTACCCTAAACCTTTATAAAACCCTAAACCCTGTTTGGGACGACCCGAAACCCTCTTAAACCCTAGGGGGATGGAAGTGGGGTGTAGGGTTCAGAGCGATGGTTTCCAGTCGCACGAGCATGAACGCCAACCGCCCGCCAACACACCAAAACCTGCCCCAATCCCCTGCACGTTGTTGCACTCTTGGACCCGAAGCTTTTGATCCCTTCCCTAAACCCCTCTCAACCCTAAACCCTAAACCCTAAACTTGCCACCAAAGGGGGGAGCCTGGAGCTTGCCTCTCAGCTCCTTCGCCTCATCCAGGTCGCGGCACACCGTGACCTGGGTCTCCGGCGTTGGGCTTCAATGCGGTTTGAGGGCGGGGGGGAGGGGGAGACCCTAAATCCTAAAAAGTTTAGGGTTTAGGGTTTGGGGTTTGGGGTTTGGGGTTTGGGGTTTGGGGTTTGGGGTTTGGGGTTTGGGGCTTGGGGCTTGGGGCTTGGGGTTTGGGGTTTGGGGTTTGGAACCCTGACGTTCAGGGTTCAGGGCTGCTCTTTTCTTGTTCTCCTGGCAGGTTCAAGGCTAAAGACCGTTGCTTCTGGACCCTCAATGTCGACTCCATAAAACCATAGGCAGCTCTGAGTTTTTGGTCTTGCATTTATGGTTTAGGGTTTAGTGTTTATGCAGGGTCGGATAGGGGCTTAGGGATTATGGGGTTCAGGGTTCAGGGTTCTTGTAGCGGGGTGGCCGGGGGATTACGTCCAACGATCCCATCTCATGGACCTTTGCACCTGCTATGACCAGTGAGCAACCATCTGGGGCCTCTGTATAGGCTTATATATCGAGGTCTTGGGATTTCGGACCACCCCCTAAGCCCTACGCCAGCCCCAACGCCCAGACTGGGGCGGGCACATTGACGGGGACGCCCTTCTGCACGCCGACCACCGGCTGGGAACGCAGTAGGTCAGGCCTTCTTGCACAAGGTTCCTACATGTCCATGTACCTGTACGGTATATACTTGCGCCTTAAAAAGTTCCCACGTAGTAGTTTCAGGGCCCGAGCATATATCTAAAAGGGTGGACCCTCGGGAGTTTAGGGATTTGAGGGTTTAGGGTTTAGGGTTTACGGTTTGGGGTTTAGGGTTTGAGCTTATAGGGTGCAGGGTTGAGCTTGTAGCTCATGGTCTGAGGTACGAGAGGGATGAGCGGGCTCATGGTCGGAAGAGCCTTGTTCTTTATGTGCTGCCTGGCTTGCCAAAGGTACAACCCCTCAACTTGACCCCTAAACCCTAAACCCTAAACCCTAAACCCTAAACCCTAAACCCTCAACTTTCCCAAGGCCGCCAAGTCTTCCACATGGCCGTACCGAGGCCACAGCCAAAGGTGCTTGCGATCCTTTTCCTTGAGACGACGGGGTTTAGGGTTTAGGCTTTGGGGTTTGGGGTTTAGGGTTTAGGTTTAGGGTTTAGGGTTTAGGGTTTGGGGTTTAGGGTTTAGGGATTGGGGTTTGGGTTTAGGGTTTAGGGTTTAGGGTTTGGGATCTGGGGTCTAGGCATGGGGTTTAGGGTCTAGGGTCTAGGGCTTAGGGTTTAGGATTTGGGGTTCAGGATTGAGTGCTGGGGCTTAGGGTGTGGGAGTTTGGGGCTTAGAGTTTTGGGTTTAGGTCTTGGGGCAATCAGAGTTCTAGGTTGGACATAAAGGCATGAAAAGTAAGTACCCTATAAATACATGTACTAGACCCAAGAGTAACCTGGGAATGCAAAGGGCACCCTTGTTGGTTTAAAGGGGTTTAGACGCATCCCTAAGCCATGCAGAAAAAAAGAGGGAATAAGGGCCTACACTGGGGTGTAGGGTTTAGGGTTTAGGTTGCGGGTTTAGGGCTTCATTCTCAACAGACAGCCACATGAAGCCCCGAGGCCCCCCAAATCCTTAAAACCCTTCCTACATCCACCATGGTGGGATTACATGTAGACTGGGACTGAATTTAGGGTTTAAGGTTTAGGGGTTTGGGATTTAGGGCGAGGTTTAGGGCTACACGGACCTACACCCTAAACCCTACACCCTAAACCCGAAACCCTAAACCTGAAGCCCCAACCCCAAAGCCGGCTGTTCACCATACGTTGCTTCCCAACTTCAAGGCAGAGTGTAGGGGTCTCGGCTGCCGGCTGGGTTTTAGGGACTATAAGGTTTAGGATTGGGGGGTTAGGGTTCAGAGTTGAGGGTTGGAGAATGGACATTAAGGTTGGAAAGTTTAGGGTTTACTTTCGGAGCGGGAGTACAATGTTGCAACTCTGCAACGGCAATCCACATCGTACCATCTAGGGGTCCAAAGTCAAACCTCTAAACAATCTAAACCCGAAACCCTAACCCTGCAGGCCCCCCAAACATCCGCCAAAGCCCAGAATAAGAGCGCCAGGAGTCTGGATCGGTACCCTGGAAGAGCATGGTTTGACCACGGCCTGGACAAGGGCTTCGGGCTTCGGGCTGAGGGTTGAGGGCTTAGGGCTGAGGGTTGAGGGCTTAGGGCTTATAGAGCTTAGTATTAGGGTTGAATGTTTAGGGTTTAGGGCTTAGACGTGCTCGTTGAATTTGGGCCGTACTCGAACACCCTCGGCAGAGGTTTTGGGCGTACGGGTGACAGCTTTGCTGGGCTTCCCGTCATGTCCCCCTATCTCCCAGCTTCCAACGAAGTAAGCAAAGCTGGCGAGAAGTGAAGGACACTGTGTGGTCATTGTCCGCGTCTGAATTGTCTGAGAACGGCCTTTGGGAACATCAACAGATCGATCCAAGTTTGCTGGCATGCTTTCTTGTCCAGCGTGTCGCCATCAGAGCCGCAGGCATCCCAACGATTCTTTTGAACGACCCGGCTGAAACACTTCCGAATCCCTGAACCCTGAACCCTAAACCCTAAACCCTAAACCGTGTCCATTTAAGTGTCAAGATAGGGGTAGAGAAGATGGGGGTTATGCAGGGTTTAGGGGTTTAGGGGTTTAGGGCTTTAGGGCTTTAGGGGTTTAGGGTTTAGGGTTTAGGGGCCTCGGCAATGGCTGCGTCAAGAAGGCCCCCAAAATGCATGTCGGTCTGAACGAGTCTGCCCCTTAAGTATAACAACAAAGCTCCGCGGTTTAGGGTTTAGGGCTTAGGGTTGTGTCCGTCTCGACTAGTAGAACCCTCTCAAATTTAGCCATCTGGTGAAGTTTCACAGCCCAAGCCCTAAACCCTGAACCCCGAACCCTAAATCAGGAAGCACCCATTCCTCTCAGACCTCAATCCCATCTGCCAGCCTATCGGCACGTCGAAGTCTACTCCTTGCCTGGGAAATGGTCTGGGGGGAAGGATTCAGGGTTCAGGGCTTGGGGTCTAGGGGGCTTCTAGGCACTGAGCATACCTCAGCTCCCTCCCCCAACCCCCTCGAAGCTATCCCCCCGTCTTATCCCCGAGCCGCACTCTACACCCTGCAAGCCTTGGCCTGGGATTGAGGGTTTACAAGATGCCAAAACCCTAAAGAACCCAAACCCTGTGTTTACGAAAGTAAACCAGACCTACGAGTAACCTCTTCTTGGATTCAAGGGGCTTAGCAGGGGACCAAAAAACCCTTAAAAGAAGTGAATAAAGGCCTAGTTTAGGGTTTAGGGTTTAGGGTTTAGGGTATTCTGGGTCCTGGATGCAGACAGTCACTGGGAGCCGGACACTCCCGTGAAGAGAGGGCGATACTGATTCGACCGTGCCTGCTCCGTGCGTCGGGTTGAAGGTCGAAACTTACGGGCTCAGGGTCTCTGGGCAAAAAGCGAAGGGCTTTGGTGGTGTTTAAGGGGGCTTTGAAACTCGGGATTTTGGGTGCCGAAAAACCCTAAACCCTAAACCCTAAACCCTAAACCCTAAACCCTATACCCTAAACCCTAAACCCTAAACCCTAAACCCTAAACCCTAAACCCTAAACCCTAAACCCTAAACAAACCCTAAACAGAAAGGAGGGCGTCACATGTAGGAGACTGGGGCCTGCCCTCTACTTCTGAGGGAAATGACGTCCAGCGGAGCCTCACTGCCCTAAACAATACCCCCTGATGAAGAACAAGGATAGACCTTCGACCATAATACTATACTCCCCTTAGAACCTTAATACAAATTATATTTCTAAATATCCTCTTGGGGTTTATATGAACCAAAAAATAATTCCCCAGGAGGATATAGAATAGGAACTACATTAGGATTCTAAGGTGCACTCCTTAATTAAAGGGGATTGGGCTCTTTCGGTGCATCCGGCGCGCAAACAGTCGAGAGTGTTTGCAGGTCGTTGAGCAGGAGGAGGCATCGGATAAGATGGGACTTAACGGGGCTTTGTGACCCCCTATGCGCCTAAGGATTGAAGTTTGGTTTGGGTCCGACAATTGCAAAGCATGACGCCCTCACGCGGAAGTCCGACATTCACAGGCACGGAGACCCTAAACCCTAAATCCCAAACCCGGAGCCCCTAAACCCTAAGCCCTAAATAAACCCTAACATAACCATTCAAGCCCAACTGTTTTTTCCTGCGTCGCGGCGGTGTGTTCAGGAGTCGGAATGGAAAATGTTGTGCTAGACCCACGGTTTGCACGGGTCCGCACAGGGAGCGTCACAGAGTCACCTGGCTGGAGCGTCTTTCGTACGAGTTTCTGGACTGTCTATAGAGTAGAAACTGCTCTAGGAAATAATTGTAAGAGTATAGTGATGATAGTAGCGTTTAGGTTTTAGGGTTTAGGGTCTAGGGTTTAGGGTCTAGGGTTTAGGGTTTAGGGTTTAAGGTTTAGGGTGTTTCTTGCAAGGGGATGGGCCGCAGCTCCCAAACGGACCCCGGAGACGGGGAGCCGCAATTCGCGACTGAGGGTTTAGCAACAGGGGCCCGCACCTAAATATCCAGCAGTCCTATTCGCTTTGAGTTCCGGCGACACCAATTCTAACTACTAGTCGTAGCAGTAAGCAGCAACCGCCTGTAGAACAGGAGAAATGCAATTCTACACAGGTCTCTTGAACTTGAAAAATCCCCTAATCCCTGAACCCTGAATCCGGAACCCTGAAACTAAAGAAAAGCCTGCTTGGGGCCACAGCCCTAAAAACGCCGAGAGAGAGAGAGAGAGAGAGAGAGCAAAACAAAGAGAGAGAGCGAGAGAGAGAGGAGAGAGAGAGAGAGAGAGCGAGAGAGCGAGAGATAGAGGAGAGAGAGAGAGAGAAGAGAGAGAGACCCTCTGCCTGGAAGAAACAAAAGAAACAAGCCCACATGCACATCTCCGCCTGGACCAAAACGGGGATTTGGATGCCTCGGGGAGAATCCAAGATGGGCATGCAAAAGCTGTGCCAGCAAAAATCGCAACTGGAGCTACGAGCAACGGACGGCCATGATGTGACCTCGCTGCACCAAAACCCTAAACCCTCCTAATAATCCCATACCCTAATGCCCCTGAGCCCTCCACCTGTGGCTGCCTTTTCAGGGGCCCGTGCTGAGTCTGCGGCAGAGGTAAGACCTCGTCATATCTAGGCTTTCCTCGGCGCTCGGAGAGTTCAGGGACTCTAGGGGCAAGTGGTTGGGCAGAGGGCTTTGTTCTCAAAAGTAGGGTCCATTTTGAGGTGCCCTACATAAGAAGGGGTCGCCTTGCAATCAGGATTGTTAGAAGGACCATAGTTCAGGGAACTCACCATTTTAAGGGTTGTAGTTAGGGCCCGTCAGTCCTTTTGCTAAAGATGAGGAAGTGAAAGAAAGGATGGGGTTTGGGGTTTAGGGCCTAGGGAAGGTCGAAAGAAGCCCCGAACATTTTGCCGCCCCTGAAGGCCAGGAGGCTGAGAGCCCCAATAACTCTCATCCTCTCCTGTCGTTCCCACACCGCCTTCTGTGAGAAAACGCTCCCCCCTGAAACCCCCAAACACCCCAACCCTCAAACCCCGAGAGGCCGGCGTTCCTGAGCTTGACCCTGAAGTCTCACCCCTAGAGCAGCTAGGCCAGAACAGCGCCTAAACCCCCAACCCTCAACCCTCAACCCTCAACCCTCAACCCTCAACCCTAAACCCTAAACCCTAAACCCTAAACCCTAAACCCTAAACCCTAAACCCCTCAACCCTAAACCCTAAACCCCTCAGCCCTGAACCTTTCTGTTGGAGGGAGCTGGGGATTGAAGGAGCCCCGGAGTTCGGCCAGCAGGGCCCAGCGAAACTTTTGGTGAGGGGTTGGCAAGCTGAGTCTAGGGTCATAGGGTGTTAGGGTTTTAGGGTTTTAGGGGTCTTAGGGTTTTAGGGGTTTAGGGGTTTAGGGTGTTGGGGTTTTAGGGCTTAGGGCTCAGGGTGTTCGGGTTTTAGGGTTTAGGGCTTTAGGGTTGAAGTGCTTGGGTTCGCTGGGCCTACAAACACCGGGCAACTTTTCAGCAAACCAGGGTGTGCGAGGGAAGGAGGGGGCAGCTGCGGGTTAGGGTCCAAGGGCTCGGGAATGGTTCAGGGGATTTAGGGTTTAGGGTTTAGAGAGGTTAGTAAAGGGTAACCTGCCCCTAAACCCTAAACCCTAAACCCTAAACCCTAAACGCTGAAACCCCCGACGCCCCTAAAGCCGCAAACCCAGCAGCCTGAATCTATGAAGTCCTTGATCCCTACTGGAACCCCTACGTCTCAAAACCCCACACCCTGAAACTCTAAAGCCTGAAAGACTAAGGCGATTCAGGGTTTAGGGTTTAGGATTTAGGGTTTAGGGTTTAGGGCTAGGGTTTAGGGCTAAGGGCTGAAGGGTTTCGGGGTTTAGACCCCGTACATCTGACAACCTGAGCTGGCTGCTTGTTCAAGTACTCGGAGATGGCCCTCCAACCTTCAGTCGCAGTTTGGATCTTCGGATAGGGTTTAGGGTTTAGGGTTTAGGGTTTAGGGTTTAGGGTTAGGGTTTAGGGTTTAGGGTTTAGGGTTTAGGGTCTAGGGTCTAGGGTCTAGGGTCTAGGGTCTAGGGCTTAGGGTTTAGGGCTTGGGGTTTAGGGTTTAGCTTCAGGGGTTTAAGGGGGTGTAAGGTTTAGGGTCGAAGGTATTGGGTTTCAGTCTGAGGGCTGTGGGTTCGCGTGCCGGGGCGCGCAGATCACCATCCTGCGCCATGAAGACGCGAAACCTGAAACCCTACCATCAACTCAACACCCCTATAAATGCCCCTGTAAAACCCTGTAATTCCCGTTAAACCCTTAAAACCCCAATAAACCAGTAAACCCCATAAACCCTTTAAACCCTACAAACCCAGTAAACCCCGAAACGCAGTAAACCCCAAACCCTATTAACCCCAACCCAGCGAACCCTAGCCTAGAAACCTCCCTATACAAACCCTTAAAACCCTATAAACTCCCATAAAACCCTGCGTAAACCCTATATTTCTCCCTGAACTTGGCGCTAAAACCCCTAAACCCTAAACCCTAAGCCCTAAGCCCTAAACCCTAAACCCTAAACCCTAAACCCGGTGAACGGTGAACCCCCCACACAAGCCCTGAAATGTCTTGGCCGCCCGGGCCCACGGTGAAGAAGGCACCCTGGACGCCGTTGGTCAAGATGCGGGTCTTCAGTCCGCGCCCTCAGAGGGTTTAGGGTTTAGGGTCCAGGGTTTAGGGTTTGGGGTTTAGGGTTTAGGGTGGGTTTAGGGTTTAGGGTTTAGGGCTAGGGTTTAGGGTTTAGGGTTTCGGGCGAGGGTCTTAGGGTGACGGGGGGGACAGGGCCTGACCGTCTGGGGAAGGATTCAGGACCTCCTTGCGCGGACGTCGTGGAGGGTTTCCTGCTTACCAGGTAGAAATGCCTCAAGGGTTTTCTTGTCCCGAAAAACCCTAAGAAGGGTATGACTGCGCATTCTGGTTTACCCTAAACCCTAAACCCTCCTAAACCCTAAACCCTATACCCTAAACCCTCAACCCCAAACCCTAAACCCTAAACCCTAAGCCTCAAGTCCCATGTCTGACTGAGCTGATGGCCGAACAGCCCGGCGTAGCCCTCCTTGGAGATGATCTGCTGTGCCTGTTTAGGGTTTAGGGTTTAGGGTTTAGGGTTTAGGGTTTAGGGTTTAGGGTTTAAGGTGTAGGGTTTAGGGTTTAGGGTTCAGGGTTTAGGTGAAACACCCTGTGTTGCTTCAAGGCCACGTTGGGGGCTGCTAGCTTGGGAGCTCCGTTTATGTCTTAAACGCTGACCCTTAATCAAACCCTAAACCCTAAACCCTTAAATTGCAGGGACCCCCGCAAAATGGGCCCAAATTAATCACATTCCCCCCTATGCTAGTTATGCTAGTTGTTTGAGAGACCTGTCGCCGAAGTACCACAAGGAGGCCTTTCTAGCAAGGCAAGTTAGCTAAACCTTAAACCCTAAACCCTAAACCTTAAACCCTAAACCCCCTCTTTAAGGGACTCTTCTCCCGTGGTCCATCCCTTTACAGGACGTTCAGCACAACGCCCCAAGGGCGTCGTGGGCGTCTTCCTGTGGCATAGGCCTGAAGACTCTGCTCACACTTGGCAGCCCAGCGTCTATATTTCACTACGGGTACCCTTTGGGGGTTGGTTTACTTTACTTTATACAAGTTTATAAGGGATCCCAGAACCAAAAAAAGAGGCAAAAGTGTACCACTGGGCTACCAAGAACAGACACAAGGACTGCGCAAGAAATTGGGGCGGCGAAATAGCGAAGAAAGAACAGTTGCGGATTGGGGTTTAGGGTTTAGGGTTCAGGAAGGTTTTGACAACTTGAAAGACCTGGTCAAGCTGAGGGTCAGCGGTTGAGGGCCAGCGCGGGAAGCCACAACGCAAGTCTCCCCCCCCCCACCCAATATCCTTCCGATAGCCATGTAGTAGAGCACGAGCCACAAGTTTAGAGTATAAAGGGTTTATAGGGGCAAATTAGGCCCAGAAGTGTGTAGGTAGCCAAGCCCTTTCTATTGAAACGTTGAACCCTAAACCCATTTGCGGGCGAGTGGCCGACTCAAGATAGCCAACCTGCAACGGTGTACAAAAAGAACTGAATGGCGTTTGGGCTCAGGGATTCGAAATGCTTAGAGTCAGGAATAGAGGCCAGTTGCGGGAGGGAGTGCGGGTTTCTATGGGGAGAGAAGAGGAGGAGGAAGCTGTCAGAGTTTCAGGTCTTTCGCGGATGAAGCCACGGTTGAACCCTGAGCCCTCTGGGTTCAGGGTTTAGGGTTTAGGTATTAGGGCTAGGGTTTAGGGTTTGGGGTTTAGGGTTTCCGGTTCAGGTTTCGGAGGTTGATGGTGTTCATGGCTTAGGTGATACTCCGCGATCTTTCAGACAGCACCGAGCTCCTTTCCTGCTCCCCACAAGAACCACTTCCTTTGAGCTAGCCCCCAACAGCCCAGCGCCCCTGGAACCCTAAGCCCGGACTGTCGTCATCAACCCCTCAAGCCACCCAAACCCGAAACCCTAAACAGCAAATCTTTGGGGCTCGTTGTCGCCCAAACCCTAAACCTTAAACCCTAAACCCTAAACCCTGAACCCTGAACCCTGAACCCTAAACCCTGGACCCTAAACCCTAAACCCTAAACTCTAAACCCTGAACCCCAAACGGCCCCCCGCGGCGGCCGGCTCAAGAGACGTCTGGCGCGTGGTCTTCAGGACGCGGAGGGAGTTCGAGCCTGTCGGAGGTTTTTGATTTAGGGTTTAGAGTTTAGGGTTTAGGGTTTAGCGTTTCTGGGCTTCAGGGTTTGAGGGCTTTTGGTCTTCTAGGGTTTCTTCGGGTTTAAGGTTCAGGGATTTAAGGTTTTAGGGTCTAGGGGTTGGGTTTTAGAGTGATTGGGCTTCAACTTCAGGGTGTGGGGCACGAAATTAATTTATGCACGAACGAAACAAGAACACTATATTACGGGCGTTAAATGACTAGCCTGTGTGAATTTTATAAGGAAGTGAAACGAACGCATGAATGTAATGAACATGTGAACCGAAACCAGCATTAATATTGTGTAGAGAGAAGTGAATACTAATCATGTTATGAGAGCGTGCAATAAAATCACTTGTAAGAACGTACGAACGTAACGTGCGTGTTTTTTAATTTCTATTTTATCGTTTTTTCTTTTCTCTTTTTTCATGCGCACAACATCAAGTTTATAATTTTCCCCGGGCTCTTTCCCCAGCTGCCAAGAAGTCTGAGGACGCGGCAAGTGTCAGACACCGCTGCGGAGGCAAAGCCGATCAAGGCGTTCCTGACCTGTGGGATGTCTGCACGGGCTTAGAGGGTTTAGGGTTTAGGGTTTAGGGGGGACAGGGTGATGGTGTACGGAATTGGGCCCCTGAACCCCTAGACCCCAAACCCTTGCTTGGGTGAGGTTTGACAGTTTAGGGGGCGGGGGTGTAGGGTTCGGGAGTGTAGGGGGCTATAAGATGTGTGGGTGTGTTGAGTTTATGGGTTGGGGAAGGCTTTGTCGGGTGGTCTTATATGGGTATTTCCCAAAATAAGGGTACCACTTTTAAACCACAAAATGGAATAGAATCCCCTGACAGGGACCCCCATCCCGATTTTCGGAAACACACTATCCTGGGCTTGTAACGGTTGTCAATCTTTCCCGGAACAAAGTAGCAGCCATTGCATCGAGATCGATTCGATGCGACAACACCCTCCTATTGTTCACTGCACACTCGTTTTATAACAGTTCTGTTATAAGATTTAGGCGCGCTTGCCGTATTCAAGATGTATATAACTTCTTTTGTGAATGACTTCTTCTACTTATCTTATTATGCTTCTGGGCAGATTTGTTCTGCGTCATCGTTTATTGCTGACGCAATTTAAAGCAACACGTAAACCCCAGCAGACCCCAAGGTTAGCGCATGCGAGGCTGTCGGGTACTCTTGGGACCAAGCGTGCTTGCCAGCTGGGATGTCGAACTGGGGAAGGGACTCGCCTCACAGGAAGAGACATGCCCCTAAAGCCTATACTCCAAGCCCTCAACCCATGTAGCCTAAACCCTAAAACCGTACAAGCTGCACCCTAAGCCTAAGCCCCAAACATTGGGATCTCCAGGGTACGTTTACATCACCAATCCCCAGTGTGGACCCAAATCTCAGTCTGGACAGCCTCTAAAGGGCCCCTTCAAGCTCCGCAACTTTTGGGGTTTGGGCTTTAGGGTCTTGGGAAAAGGGAACAGGGTAGAGGGTTCAGGCAACGGTTTAGTGTGGGATCTGGCATAGGCAGTAGGGATGGCCGCCCTAATCCTTTATGGGGCAAGGCCTGGGGGGCGGGGAGGCGGAAAACGCGGTACAGGAATGGCCAGACTTCCTAGATTCTGGCCACCCCCTCACACCCTGAAGTGGTGGTTGCGCTGCTCCAGACAAAACCTCCGCAGACCCTGCACCCCAGGCCCTAAACCCTAACCCTACACCCTAAACCCTAAACCCTAAGCCCTAAGCCCTAAACCCTAAACCCTAAACCCTTGCAAAGGTTCAAGGGTCGAACTTCGGGTCGTCTTTCAAGCTTCCAAGCAAAAGGACCAAATTCGGGTTTCGGTCCCCTTGCTTCAACCTCATTCCTCAGCTGCAACCTTCGAAGCCCCTAAGCCCTAAGCTCCAAAAACCCTAAACCCTAGCCCTAAACCCTAGCCCTAAACCCCAAACCCTAGCCCTAAACCCCAAACCCTAGCCCTGAACCACGAAATGGCCCTGAGCACGATGGCCCCTGTTTGGGACTCGGGCGCAGCTGGTTGTTGGTGTAGAACCACGGGTAGTGTCCGACCTCTTCGGCTTTCCGAAAAACGAGCCGGGTTTAGGGTTTAAGGTTTAGGGTTTAGGGTTTAAGGTTTAGGGCCTAAGTTTAGGGTTTAGGGTTTGAGGTTTGGGGTCTGGGGTCAAGGGTTTGGTGTTCTTTGTGGGGCCTATTTGTGGGCTTTGAACTCAAGGCGCCTACGGAGTAAGACGCCAAGAGAACCCGCAACCTGTGCCCTTCTATCAAGGGGGATGTGAGGAAAACGTAAACTAGAGTCTTCCTTCTCGGAGATGTGAGCTCGGCTCTACAGATGAGGAAGACCAGGGTGGATTTCACAAGGGTTTAGGGTTTAGGGTTTAGGGTTTAATTAGGGTTTAGGGTTTAGGGTTTAGGGCTTCTGTTTAAAGATCGTCCCCGCTATATGGGGGGGGGTCTCCCAAAACTAAGGGTCCCCTCTTTGGGGATTGAATCTGAAGAAGAAACTGAGTTTAGGGGAACTTCTATTGCATGTGGTTGTGACTCAAAACCTGTGGACCCTAAGCCCTTGCACCCTAAACCCTACATCCTAAACCCTAAACCCTAAACCCTAAACGCTAAACCCTAAACCCGAAACCCTAAGACGACCACAAATCACCTTGCAAACCTCCACTCCAACCCACGCCCCAGGCCCAGACCCAGGTGGCAGTCATCGCTCCAACGCCGCCTTCCCGGGTTTAGGGTTTAGGGTTTGGGGTTTAGGGTTGAGGGTTTAGGGTTTGGGGTTTAGGGTTTGAGGTTTAGGGTTGAGGGTTTAGGGTTTGGGGTTTAGGGTTGAGGGTTTAGGGTCTAGGGTTGGCCGGGTTTGGGTCTAGGGTTTAGGACCTTTAAGTGTCATGAGGGGGCTCTGGATTTGGCAGTGCAGCAAAATTTAAACGCCCTAAGCCCTAAAGCCCTAAACCCAACTGTCGTGGCGGGCGCTGGTGCAGACCTTGTTTCGCAAAAGGGCCCCAGACAGCGGCGCCGTGTAGGTTTAGGCTCAGGAGTTTGGGGGTTTTGGGGGGCGAGAAACTCAGGATTGTGGAGCGGAGGATTTAGAGGTTTCTGGGTTGGGGTCTGGACAGCGCATGTAGGCTTTGGGTTTTGACTTCTGGCAATGACAGTCTTGGTGCCCGAGCTATTTGGGCTGCGGCGTGAGGTCTACCTCCCCATGCGCCCTAATCAAACCCGAGCCCGAAAACCAACACCCACATGACACTGAAGGTTTAGGGTTTAGGGTTTAGTTTAGGGTTTAGGGTTTAGGGTTTAGGGTTTAGGGTTTAGGGTTCAGGGTTTAGGGTTTAGGGTTTAGGGTTTAGGGTTTAGGGTTGAGGGTTGAGGGTTGAGGGTTGAGGGTTGAGGGTTGAGGGTTGAGGGTTGAGGGTTGAGGGTTGAGGGTTGAGGGTTGAGGGTTTAGGGTTTAGGGTTTAGGGTTTAGGGTTTATTTTCGAGCTAGCCTCGGCAACATTCATGGTTGCTTGTAGCTTCGCCTCCCTGCCTTATCCTAAGAGGATGCTCTGGTGAAATAGCTTAAGGGTTTAGGGTTTAGGGTTTAGGGTTTAGGCAAATCGCTCCTTCTTGAGCGCTACTGGGGTCGGGACCCGAAACCCTAGACACCGAGACCCTAAACACCGCAAACCCGAAAATTCCAACCACCTTAACCCAAAACACCTAGACCCTAAACCCCTAACCCCCTAACCCCAACCCCTAAATCCTAAACCTTGAACCCTAAACCCAAAACACCTAGACCCGGATCCTCCAGCATGGTCATGAGACATGTGAGGGTTTCCGAAATTTAGGGTTTATGGTAAAAAAATAAATAAGCATCAAAAAAAAATAACCCCAAGGGATGAACAAAAAAAATAAATAAGCATCAACAAAAAAAATTAACCCATTTTCCTCTTGGAATACAGCGGGGGGGGGAGGGTTTGGGGGGGGGGGGGGTTGGGGGGGGGGGGGGTTGGGGGGGGGGTTGGGGGGGGGGGGGGGGGGGGGGGTTGGGGGGGGGGGTGGGGGGGGGGGGGGGGGGGGGGGGGGGGGGGGGGGGGGGGGGGTGGGGGGGGGGGGGGTGGGGGTGGGGGGGTTGGGGAGGGGGGTTGGGCGCAGCCCCCCCCCCATTTGCAAACACAATGCTCGCACGATGGGTAGTAGTGGGTGGTGGTTGGAAAACCTTCTATTTTTTCGATCTTTTAATAGGAAAACCTCTATTTCTTCATATTCCCACAAGAAAACCTCTATTTTCTTCACGTTTTCATAGGAAACCTCTATCATCTCTATGTTTCCATCGGAAAACCTCTATTTGCATGTATTTTAAGAAAAACTTAAACTTTTTAGTATCCCAATGGCTTCAACAAGATTCATAAAGCACGCTTTGCAGTGGCACAGCTTGATAAAAACGCGGCGGGGTTGGGGTTGGCGCAGCCCCCAACCCCCCCCCCACACCCCCCCACTTGGCTTTGCAGCACGCTTTGCACAGCTTAAAAAAAACAGCGGGGGGGTTGGGGGGGGCGCAGCCCCCCCCATTTGCAAACAATGTTCGCACGATGCGTAGAAGTGGTGGTAGTGGTTGGAAAACCTTCTAGTTTCTCGATCTTTCAATGGGAAAACCTCTATTTCTTCATACTCCCACAAGAAAACGTCTACTGTCTTCACGTTTTCATGACAAATCCTCTACTATCTCTATGTTTCCATCGGAAAAACTCTACTTCTACATGTTTTAAGCAAAAAACTTCCTTTTCTTTGCATTCCAATGGCTTCAAAGAACAATACATAACACATACTACATTCCAATGGCTTCAAAGAACAATATATAATACATACTACATAATATATAAATACACTATATAATGAATAATTAATAATAAATTAATTAATAATAAATAATATTATATATTTTATATATTGTACATTATGTATACAGTATATATTATACAATATATACTTTATATTATGCATTATATGCAGTATATAATATGCAATATACAATATATGATATGCAATATATTGTGAAGTCGACCAGCACTGGACTTGCACTAAGCCAATGCAATCACAGCCCGGTCACGCTGTTTTACGACTTCGCGAGTTCAAGCACTTGTGCAGCTACGCCTGAGTGCGTCCGGTCGGACCGCACAGCAACCTAAGAGCTACTGTACGAAACTACCGTGCTCAAAGGCACAAGCTCGGTACTTGAGCCAAAACATTGGCATCGAAACTAATTCGCAAAACTACACATGCAAGGAAAACTACAGTACTGGTTCTGGCAGCTTAGCACATGCAACGTGCGTGCTTAGACCTGCTCACATTCGCCCCTCAGCCGAGGCTTCCAGCTCATTCCGAGCTCGGAGTGCAGCAGGCACTCGCGCTGAACACAGAAAGGGAAGGGAGAGGGTGTCGCGTGCGACCGCGGTGGTCCGCACATCATGAGCATTGGCATGCGGCAGGGACGCTAGCCCGCACCACCAAAACGAACGCACGACGACAGCAACCCTCAGCAGCCCTAAACCACCCTTTCCCAAGAGGTCCTCACCCTTTTGCTGGTGGGCGAGGCTCTTGAATCCTCGAGCTGGTCTCTAGCTGCCAGTACGCAGACTAAGGTACAAACTATGGTACACTGTACACTGTACACTACCGGTCCTAAGCTACGGCTACGGCTACTCACCTATCCAGAACTACCCTACGGGCTACCGGACTCAGCGAGAGCCGCGCACATGACTCGTGCCGCAGCAATGCAACTCGCACGCGCTTCGGCGAGCGCACTGCCGCGACCAGGACACGGTCCGCAGCACCTGCAAAAGAGCACCCTCAGCACGAGGGGCCACAGGCAGGGCAGAGGAGAAAGGTGCGGGGAATGCAAAATGGGCAGGTCTCCAACCTGCCGCGGCTTTCCGCCCGCAGTCTAGCAAAAGAGAAAGCAAACGATTGGCGAAGCAACGTGCCGTGTTGCCACGCCTGCTCTGATAACGCGTGGATGCCTTCCACGCCGCGCCAACTGGCCGCAGCCTACTCGATACCCTGTGGAGCAGTGTTGGGGGCACGAGTGGCGCTGCCAGCAACGTTGGAGCTACTGGCTCGCTCCAACTGAGGGCGCCTCGCGACCGCCTCATCGAGGGAGAATGCCTCAGCCGACACCCTCTGGAAGTCCTCGATGTAGGACTGCGCGACCGGGTGCGTCTTGGGGACCTCGAGCCTAAGCCCTGCCTCCGCATTGGCTTTGCTGCTTGTGGTAAAATTGAGGCTCCCAATCAACACAACCGCGCCGTCAGGCCGCAGTAGGCAAAGGGCCTTGGCATGGTGAAGCCCTTGAATCCCTGTGCCTACCTTAGCCCCGCGGCCGTCGCGGGCATAGGCGTCGCGCACGGATGTGCCGCAACCCACCTTCACCTCGGCGCCTGCAGCCGCCAAGCGTTTCAACGCTTGCCATTGCAGTTTGGCGCGGTGGCATTGCCCTATGTCTGCGACAATCCGAACGCCTGCGCCCTTGCTGAGCGACGCTTCGATTGCCTCGATGCAGGATGGGCAATCTAGGCTGTACGCCCGGATGTAGATCACATCCTCTGCTGCTCCAGACCCAAGCAGCGTTTGGGCGGCCTGAACGTATGGCCCGCCCGCAAGGAATTCCACTTCTTTGACTAGAGAACTCCTAGCGGGAACTGGGCCCTTGTTCCTCCGGCTGGGTGTGCGCGCCACAGTGGCAGTGGCGGCCCGTTGCACGGAGCCGGACTGTGCGTGGGCTGCGTTCGCTCCATCTGCTGGGGCCGCGGCCAGGTCACGACCCGCGAGCCCCTGAAAGCAGGAGAGCCCGCGGCTCTTGGCCGCAAGTTGGGAGAAACATCCTTCATTGTTCCCCAAACCTAACACCACCTTACCCTTAGCTAGGGCTTCGGAGGCGGTACTCCGAATGGAGTCGGTGAACGCAGGACCCGCGCCTCGCTGGGCCGCGTGCAAAAACCCTAGGGATCGAGCGGTGTCCATTGCGGCCTCGCAATGCCCGCAGCGTCCCTCTGCCAGGTAAGCACGGCAGCCGCAGGCAGCTGTCTCCTCCTTGAGGTGCACCCAAACTTTATGGGTCACCCCTTTCTTGGTACTCGCGACCTCAAACGTCGCCTCAGAGCCAAGGAGTTGAGACAGCCGCGCCTCAGGGGCCGCGGTGTTGCCATGTCGCAAGTGCGCAATGCGATTGGCAACGGCACGACTCACGTACCACAGAACAGCACTGCATAAGATCACTACCACCAGAGTGATGGCTGTTCCGGCGACCCACACGGTCCGCCGTGCCCGATTTCCTCGACCACGTCGGCCGAAATTGTTGCAACCGCGTGCATAGAGTCCTCGACAACATGCACAGCCCCGCGGTGCAACTGCAAGGCAATCGGCGCCGACGCTGCAGCCGCCAGGCCCCACCAGCCGTTGATGTTCCCGTTGAGGGCGTGCATCAACCGATTGAGGAGCCCGCGACCCAGGAAAAACGGGGTCCGCGGCGGAAGCGGAACAATCGGCGGCGGCCGGGCCGACCCGCACGGGAAGGCTGGGACCCAGCTTGTGCTTGGGCGGGGCTGGAGCGCGGCAACTATGCCCGCGGCAAAAGCGCCCCAGGCGTACTTGCCCCTCCCTTTGGGCTTGCCCTTGGCATCGGACTTGCCTCTGCCCTTCGGCTTGCCCTGGCCCTTGCCACGGGCGTCTGCCCAAGCA